CTAGTTTATTTGATCCTAAAGATCTGAGTGATCTGTTGGGTTTGTATTCAGTGAGCATATCTGTAATGTATTGAGGTCCTAGGCCATTTAGTCACTTATAGAACAGTAAAAATACTTTAGAATCTATTCTGAATGTAACTGGGAACCAGTGTAGAGACCTGAGGACAGGTGTGATCTGCTCTGATTTGCTGCTTCTGGTCAGAATTCTGGCTGCAGCGTTCTGGATGAGCTGCAAGTGTCTGACTGTCTTTTTGGGAAGGCCAGTGAGGAGTCCATTACAGTAATCCACCCTGCTGCTGATAATAGCATGAACAAGTTTCTCTAAGTCTTCACTGGAAACAAAGCATTTAATTCTTGCAATATTTTTTAGATGATAGTATGCTGATTTACTAACTGCTTTGACATGACTGTTGAAACTCAGATCTGACTCCAGAGTCACACCAAGATTCTTGACCTTATTTTTTGTTGTTTGACCCTTAAAGCCAAGGTACGCATTCACCTTGAGAACATCATCTCTGTTCCCAAACGCAATCACTTCAGTTTTCTCTTTGTTTAACTGAAGAAAATTTTGGCACATCCAATTGTTAATTTCATCAATGCATTGGTAGTGGGTGTCTATGGGGCTGTAGTCATTAGGCAGTAAGGCTAGGTAGATCTGAGTGTCATCAGCATAGCTGTGGTAGGAGATTTGGTTCTTTCTCATTATTTGGCTCAGGGGGAACATATAAAGGTTGAACAGGAGAGGTGCCAGAATCGAGCCTTGTGGGACTCCACATGTCATGGGTGTCCACCTTGACCTATGGTCACCTATACTGACATGGTAACCTCTACCTTCAAGGTAAGATCTGAACCATTTGAGGACTGTCCCAGACAGCCCAACCCAGTTTTCCAGCCTATCTAGAAGTATGCTGTGATCGACAGTGTCAAATGCGGCACTGAGATCGAGCAATACCAGCACTGTTATTTTACCTGAATCTGTATTTAGGCGGATATCATTGATTATCTTTATAAGGGCGCTCTCTGTACTGTGATGTGCTCTGAACCCAGATTGAAAATTTTCTAAACACCCCTTTAAGTTTAAGAACTTGTTGACCTGGTTAAAAACAACTTTTTCAATGATTTTGCCAATGAAAGGGAGATTTGAGATTGGCCTGTAATTGCTCAATAGTTTGTTATTCAGGTTGCTCTTCTTCAAGAGGGGTTAAACAACTGCAGTTTTAAGTGAGTTTGGAAAAATACCTGAGAGAAGTGAATCATTTACCACTTTTAGAAGATCCATTTCTAAACAGGTAAACACCGTTTTGAAGAATGATGTGGGGAGCGTGTCAAGACTGCAGGTTGATGTTTTCATAATTTGCACGATCTCTTTTTACCGATTTTACCGTTAATTGCCATGAAATCAGACATAATGTCTGATTTCTTAAGTTGTGGTTGAGCTTGTTTGACATTGGCACAACTTGGCTGATTGGATGAGCTGATTGCCTTTCTGATATTATTGATCTTATCAGTAAAGAAATGAGCAAACTCATTACATTTGCTTTCAGAGAGTAGCTCACTGGGAATCTGATTGGGGGGTTTGTGAGTCTCTCTACTGTTGCAAAGAGTGTGCGAGCATTATTTACATTGTTGTTTATAAGGCTTGAAAAGAAAGTCTGTCTAGCAGTTTTTAGTTCCACATTAAAAGCATGAAGACTGTCTTTATAGATATTATAATGGACTACTAGTTTCGTCTTTCTCCACATTCGCTCAGCTTTTCTGCATTGTCTTTTCATCATTTGGACTACTCTTGAGTTTCTCCAAGGGACTCTCTCTTTGCCAGTTCTCTTCCTGAGTTTAAAAGGAGCAAGGTCATTTATGACATTCTGAATTTTAGAATCAAACAAGTCAAGGAGAGAATCAACAGAATCTGCAGATATACTTGGTGCCAGCGATATGGCCTTCATAAACTGCTCACTGGTGTTCTCATTTATGCACCTCTTTCTGACAGAGACAGATCTTTCTTTAATAGCTGGAGTGATCAATATATCAAAGAAAATACAGAAATGATCAGATAGTGCCACATCCTTAACAACAGTCGATGAAATGTGTAAACCCTTAGTTATAAGTAGATCAAGAGTGTGTCCACGATTGTGTTTGGGTCCTTGAACATGCTGAGTCAGATCAAAAGTGTTAAAAACAGTCATCAGTTCTTTTACAGCATTGATTTCTGGATTATTAATGTGAATATTAAAATCCCCAGCAATACTAAAATAATCAAATTCAGATGTTACTATTGATAATTCAAGCTGATTACCTTAGGTTGTGATTTGGTCTAATTTAGATCAATTAACGTAATAAATCCTTATTTTCAGTTAAAGGTTCATCATTTACCTGAAGTCACTTAGAGTCAGTATGCAGGCCAGTTCTATCTGCTAACGGACACAACCTCGCCTGCTCTGGTTCTTAGATAGAGGATATAACTGTAAACTAACTTTAATATTAGGCCGCCCCATGCTTGCTCAAGTATAAAGAAAGTTTGATTAAGCCACTAGATTATATTATACTAAGTCAGTGATTGTCAGAAATCCTGTTGATTCAACCAATGCTGTGCCTATGCTCCATCCATTGAGTTTGAATGTATGACTAATCCTGGTTGTGCTGTGGAAACATCAGCTAAAACAATCTACTAGATTTAAATGATTTCAGGAGATGGGAGGGGGGACAAGCGTGCTTTGGCCTGGTTCAAGGCAACTGTACATAGTGTTAGTACGGCCTTATACACTGCAACGTGGTATCCTGGCTACAGAATGCCACAGACACTTCTCCACATTACCCTTAAATACTCAAATCACTATAAATTCTAGACAAAAAAAGGTTCACCAAAAACCTTTTCTTGTCATGAGCCGATGTGAAGACCATTTTTTATGGAGTGGAGCATCTGGCAAAGATCTTATTAAAGTCAAAACCCAAATTGACTGATGTTAGGGAGATTTCCAAAATATTACAGTGAAATTAGGACCACCGTACCAATCACACAGAGACATTTAAAATGACACCAAACATTAATATAGAGCCACAACATACACCATAATAAAAACTTGGACATTCTGTGTGGAATGTGACTGAGATGCTCTGGTGGAGAAGGTAAAGTCCAGGGCAAAGAGGGGGTTCAGGATGCATGATAGAGACAACCTGAACAACTGGTTTCCTATAGCTGATCTTTTTCTCAGATTGAAAAGTTTATTGCTTTAGTGCCTGACCATTCTCGTGTGGAGTTCCATAACAGTTCTCAGGGTTTAATATTACTGAAAGATATAGCCATCCTTACATATCCTTAAAACTAATAACTGAATCTAAATTTTCTTTTTTTTATTTCATTGGACCTTTAAAAATGTAATATTATGTTAAGGGTCCAGTGAAGTTAAAATAACTTTTGAAGATGTTAGTATCAGTATCGTTAATTTTTAGTTCACTTGTGACATACTCACACCTGCAGTTTTCTATGATGAACGTCCAGTGTTCACCAGCCTTTGGCGCCTAGACTACGGCTACACAAAGGAAGTTTGGCCAGAGGAAAATGGTCGTGCCCAACTGAGCCTGGTTTCTCTCAAAGTTTTTTTTCCCTTCACTTCGTCAATTGGTGAAGTGTGTTCCTTGCCTCTGTCACCACTGGCTTGCTTGGATTGGGACTTGTGGAGCTGCACATCGATGGATTTGCTCTTCAGTGTTTGGACTTTCATCAGTGTAAATTAAACCACACTGAACTGAACTAAACTGAAATTTAACTTTGACAACTGGACTGACACTGTTACAATTGACTAGAAGTTATATGGAAATAACATGAATTTAATTTAATTGAATTAGGATATCTATAAGCTAGTGTGCTAACAGTGACAAAATTCACATTCGGGAACTGATATTAACATGTCAAGCTGATAGTTTGTCACTTCTGCCTATAAACGGATCAACAGTTTTATTCACGTCACCTCATACTTAAATATCTCATCAAATCTTGACCAATCAAATGCTCTCTAGTATCTGACATGCCCCGCCCCCTTCAAGATGCTTCTCATTTGTGCTCAACCACTCTTTTTTTATTATGTAAAAAAGAACAATTACAAAGACACAAAATGAACAAAGACAATAGAGTTACATAAATAAATCCCAACAAATTATACAAGTTTAAATGATTTACACCATGCGTCTCAAACTCAATTCCTGGAGCTCTGCACACTTTTGCTCCAACCCTAATCAAACACAGCTGATCCAAATAATCAAGGTGTTTAAAAGAGTCTGATCACCTTGATTATTTAGATCAGCTGTGTTTGAGCAAAAGAGTGGTTGAGCACAAATGAGAAGCATCTTGAAGGGGGCAGGCCCTCCAGGAATTGAGTTTGAGACCCATGATTAACGCCAAGAAAGAGTTTTACATGTCAAAATATTATTTAAGTCTTTTAAGGAGTTCACATATAAATTAAAATACTTTGAAAATAAAAAAGTAAGGGTGTTTCTTTGAAAATGTACATTTATGGATGTAAAATTTAGCTAGAAAAAGCATTAAGTTGCAGATCTATGATAAAACTGAATAGCTGATTTTTAAAGGGGAGGAACTACACTTTGTTCCTACCTCCCTTTGTGTTTTGGTTGAGCTTACCACAAACATCAAATTTAAATGCACATTTTAAAGCATGAGGCACTAACAAAACTGCATAACTGATACTGTTGGTTTTTTAAAAAGGTAACTTGGTTGTAGAATGCAGTAGCCGTATAAATGAAACCTGATAATCTTCACAAAACTAATCATATTCAGGCAGTTCCTCTGCTTACAAAGTAATCCAATCATGCCTGTTGTGAAAGTTTTTCTCTTTTAAATTTCCATGGCATTTCATAAGCTGAAGGACATTTTCAAATGTTCATTGCCAATCTTAGTCAATCATAATCGTTTGTTTTGGGGCTTTTTTGAGTTTCCACAACCAGCGCAGAGCCATGTCGATCGGAGCCTCCCCCAGATCCCTATTGTGAAAACGAACAAGCAGCGAATAGGTTTTGACGTCACTGCTGCTGCCCTCTATAATAAGATGAGGCAAACAAACAAGAGCAGTTACTATTCAAGATGAGAGGATTTCTGATACTGCTCAGCGTTCTGCTGGTGCTGAAGGGAAACGAGGCTTATGAGCAACTAAACCAACATGAACGAAGAATTGTTGACAAGGCTATAAAACAAGCCAATGAGGAACTTGGAAAACAGCAACACCTTGATTATTCTTCCATTTTACAAGCTGTAAGTTTATTACAAATTTATTTCAAATGTTAATTAAGCCTTTATTATTTTATTTTTGCTTGTCTGCTTTGATTTTTTTGTTTTTTTCTGATGGTGGAGCTTAAAGTGCTCCAATAAAAAACGTCTCTTACATTTAGCATTGTGTTCTTTGAGCTATGATTGCATCTTTTTTATGCGACAGAATAATAGAATAGGCATGCTGCATGTTTTATTAAAACCCACCTCATGTGAGAAGAAAACTGAAGTAGTTCATCAGGGAGACTGTGAAATCCGTGAAAAGGCTAAGGTGTGTATTTCTTCATTGCCTAAATGCATAGGTGTCACTGTTAAACATGCTCAGTAAATAAATAATCAATAAAGATTTACCGCTGATCTTCAATATTTTTTACAGCCTCAGGTGTCTTGTGTTGCCTGTCATGAAGAAATGAATTGTTTCCTTCTCAGAGAGCATGAAAAGGTATCCTACATCAGTGGTTCCCAACCTTTTTTCGCCTTTCCCCTGGAATATATTGCAAGGCCCCCATCCACGTTTAATGATATTATCACTCACATAAGTTTGCCGTAATGATGACAACATTTTTTGGTTTTCGAACAAACAGAATGTTTACTATATTTAAATGTGTTTATGCACAAATACTAGCCTAATGTAAAATATAAAAGCAAAACATCAGTAGGCCATTTATAAATTAAAAATATTAGCCTTTAAATTATTTTAAAGCCCTATTAAAAATTCAATAAATAAAAAATATGTATAAAGGGGAAAAAATAATATAGGCTATTACGATTTAATACTTGTGTGTTATTTATTATGCTCTATCAAATATTGTGAGGATTAGTGCGAGGCAAATAAGTGAGACTTTTTGTGGACGGACTACAAATTTGTTAATTTTTGCAGTGGTCCTCAACCTTTTTATCAATCGGGCAAAGCTTGACAATTTTACCGCGGACGGGAGGGGGGTGTTTCAGTGTTTCGTAGGTTGTAGGCGACCATCAATCGTTTTCTCAGAAGATGACAAGCTGACAAAACATTGCTGCAGCTCTGACACGAGTTTTATTTATGGAGAAAATACAAAGCACTGCAGTGTTTGGATGCTCTGTGTTTGTTAGAGAAAATTAGTCTTACCAAAATGTGAATATTCCAAACAGGCTGAAGCTGATCAACTAGTTCTTGTCATGTGACTCACAGACATCCCAAGTCTCCCGGAAGTTGCGGGAGTATCCCGCAAATGAATGATAATCTCCCGGAAATCCCGCCCGGTCCTTAAATACGTTGCATGCCCCTCGCCATCGCATCTCTCCCAGCTCTTTAGGTATGTCTCGCGTAACTCACCCACACCGCTCTTCAGGTACGTCGCAGGGAACTCACCCCCACTGCACTTCAGGTAGGCCAACGTCTCAAGGCTGATTTATACTTCTGCGTCAAACGCCGGCGTATGCAACGGCGCTGACGCATAGCCCTTCGATGTGGCCATTGGCGTCACTGACGTACACCTCTCAAAAAATGTAACTACACGTCGCAACAACGCGTAGCGCAAGCTCTGTGATTGGTCGGCTTGGTATCGCAGACGAGTCTGGGCAGGACCGAGAGCCGCGCGAATGGCGCAAGCAATTGTTTACAAGGGTGGAGTCCCGTTAAGGAGCTCCGGATGGAAAGTTTTGTTTTGTGTTTACCTCATAGTTAAAGTTGTTGCACGTCCGCCGGTTCCTGCCTCAAAATGAGCGAGTTTGAGCCACTTGTACATCCCAGGAGTGTTCAGGAAACGCAAAAAAGCAGCGAAGAAACTTGACACAGAGGAACATTTACACCTCACAGCCAACTAGCATTTCTGAAGTGTTAATGCAGACCAACAGAGACAGCGCGCAGAAGTATAAATGCACAGCCACGCGCGTTGCATGTGCCGTGGGTTACGCCGGTCATTTGACGCAAAAGTATAAATTAGGCTTCACGCTTCACCCTACTCGGATATGTCGCTCATTCATTATCATTTATTTTCTGACCCCCAACAAAGCTCACTGACACTCCCTTGTGGGCCAAATACCCCCCCACCCCCATTGGGATCCGATGTCCTACATCACATATCAGTATACGGATAAAGACCTGTATGCATTATGATCTTTCTTCTTGTTGTCAAGATATTCATACAGTAAAAATATTCTGTTTTTTTTTTCAGACAACAAAAAAAATAAATGATTGTTTCGGAAAGAATCTTATCACTGGAGGAGTTGTATTGAGCCAGTCAGGAAAACATGAGCAAAAAACTGGATGTCTCGGTTGCATCTGAGAAGAAAAGGATTAAAGATTTTTGCAAGTGACCATTTGATTTAAAAAAGTATTAATAACACTAATATATAACTTCTAAAACATTCCTGTTAAGCCAAGCTTCTTTCCAGGTAAACATATTTTAAAATGTATGTATGTACATCAATGACAAATACATTTCTCCTTCAATATTCTGTTTTCAGTAAGTTTCAATGTTAAAAATGGATAAAAATATGGATAAATATGGATTTTAAAATATGAAAAAATTTCCTAAAATTTCAAATAGAAAAAATAGGCCTATAATTTATGGAAAGCATATTGTAACGTTATCCCCATTTTTAAATAAATAAATAATTTTGAAAAGAACAGTCTACAATGTGATTCTGTTATTTTATTATTTTAATTTCTTTCTTGTATTGAAGAACATAATATAATAAAAAACAATACTAAAAGCATTAAAATAATTCAATTAAAACATTAACAATGCTAACACAATATGTGAAACTCCATTTACGGCTAAGAAATGTGTTATTATTGATTCATCAAATCAAAAGGTTTGATTGGAGTAATTATTATACACTTGAAAAATGTTACAGTATCTACAAAACATAAGCAGAACTTAATTATTATAAAAATTTCATTGGTTACTTAAAGTTAATTTGAGCTTATACTCTTTGAAAACATTACCCCAGCTCATAAGATATTAGTGTAAACATTTCTATTTGTTCACCCAATAAATGATTAAGAGGATCGAAACTGGTGAGACATTTTCTGTTCCGAAGGCCATAAATACTAATGTATGTATTAAAATTCACATTTTAATGGAAAAAAAAAATCACATTTTGATTAAAATTGCTGTAGTGAAGCATTAAGTACTAATTGTCAGATAAGTGACAATAAAGTCAGATATGACAAAAATAAATTTGGAAAGATACAGACCTGTCTTTATAAAGTCCCACAGTTAACAGAGCCTGTCAGAGCACAAACCATGGCATGAGTACAAGGAATTATTGGAAGACCACCACGACACAATTGTATTGAGACAAATAACTGGGGAAGAAATCTGCAGCATCAAAGGTTCCAGTGGCACAAGAACCTAATGATCATTCTAAAAAAGCTCCAGCATTTTTCTATGGAGAGAGAAGAACCTTCTAGAACACAGGTGTCGAACTCAGTGAGGGCCACAGCTCAACACAGTTTGACTTTAACCTAATTAAACACACCCAATCAAACTTATTGAGTCCTTTGGGCTTATTTGGAACCTACAGGTAAGCGTGTTGAAGCAGGTGTTATAGACGCCAGCTAGTGAAGATCAGTACACTCTTCATTAGCCTCCTTGTTCGCACAAACAACTCCCATGCAAAGAATCGCTGATTCTATCCCAGCTCTGTGAGAGAGGATGGTGTAGGACTAGTGGGTCACATTAGAGCCATGACCCGGATCAGAGTAGATTTTGTGGGGTGAGTGTAACTGAGGCCAGCTTGTAAAGTGCTGTGCAAGTAAACAAACCTTCGGTCGCGGTCTTTAGCCTGATTGTTAGAGCAACCAACTATGTAAAGAAATCGAGTGGGTGGTGTAGGACCATTTACATTGGGTTGGAACTAAACTGTGCAAGACTGCATCAGGCCTGTATGGTAGGATGACCAGATGGAAGACAATGTATTTGTTAATATTTAAATAAATTTATTTAAAAGAAAGTGTTATTTTTGTCTTTCCTGGTATTTTTAAAACAAAGGATTTTTTTAACTAACCTTTTTTTACCTATTCATTACGCTGCATTATTTGTATAAATTAAAAGAAAAATAATGAATTTAAAGTCCACATGAATTGGAGGCTGCAACCTTTTTTTCATATCGTGACTCAGTTCCTAGAGAAACATGGACGTGGCTTGTTTTTTTTTCTACTGTGAGTTGATCAGATGTAATAAAGAAGGCATTTCATTCAGAAAGATCAGAAAAGAGTTTTAGAACAGTTATTACAACGTGACAGTCTCCTCCTCCTCAATTTTTATTATTAAGTATGTTAACCACGCCCAAAAAACAGAAAGTGCATTTTCATATTTTAATAAAAATCACACAGGCAAACAAACTTATCCATGTTTTTCTTTAGCAGTTTCAGCTAAAAAGATAATTGCAATAAATAAGTTGAACTTTGATTTTATTTGGAAATTGAAAAATCACTTATACGTAAGAATGATATGGTTAATATGGAGAGTTATATGGAGAGGTCTTAAAACAATTGACTTTTATATAATTAATGTGGCTATTAAACTTAAATGGTTACAATCTTTCATTAAATTTTTCAAATATTTTTGTTAAAAAAATGATTTTGAACTGTCTCCGCATAAAACGTTCTGCTTTTTATCAACAAGTATTATATTGGAAACTGATTTTTAAATATAATTTTAGCCCACATGACATCTATTTGGAATAATAGGTGTATTTTGATTAATATAAAATCTTTGTTTTTTGATGAATGGTGGAAGAATTCCACATTATGAATGATTTAGGAAATATGTTGAGTTATGATGCTTTCTGTAGAAAATACCAAATAAGTTGTTCTCTTAAAAGATATGAGAAAATTATTAAGAAATAAACCTCTGAAAATGGTTAACCTAGTGAAGGAACAAATAAAATATTCAACTATAACTCCCAAAACAACTGATCTTAAGATAAAAAGTTTAACTTTACAGACAGAAAACAAATTTTTGAGAGATTGTCTGACACTGTTGTTTCCCAGCACATGTTAAGAGAGCTTATATATTGTCTCATTATGATAAGAAAAATGTGTTTAATATTAAAAAAAGATTTCTTTCATATCCTGTTAATCCTAAATGCAAAGGTGTGCACTTTAAATATATGAATTACGTTTATCCTGCAAAATAATTTCTACGGTTAAAATTAAGGAAGAACGGTAAGAACGGTCTTTAAACCACAGCGGTTCGAACTGTAGTTCTGCCGAGTGACTAAAAAGTGATCAGCATGATGGTAAAAAACTGTACATTTCTAGTCAAATCATTCTTCTGCAATCTTATACCAAAAATGGAAATAAGGGCAGTATTAATAGCTATAAATGTGGGAAAGCGTTGATATTATGTGATTGTATTGTATTGCTATATGGAACAATTAAGTGTTGATGTTAAATCAAAAGTAATTCACAAATACTTGAAAATGAAATGATTTAATGACAATAGTTCTCTATGGTTACAACTGAATTAATAACAAAATACTGTATAAAATGATAAAATATGAAATGATAAAACATATGGTATAAATTGTACCCAGCTTAAATGTAAAATTAAAGTTACCAGAGGTAGAAGGAGAGACATGGAGGGAGGGAGAAAGAGACAAAGAGAGCAGGCCCAAAAGCCTGATTGCAGTAGAGTCAGAGAAGATAGACTCCATAGGAGCAGAGCAGGAGAGAAGCAGGCCAGGAAAAGAGAGGGCAGGAAAAGGGGCCAGAGCTCGAGTTTACCAACTATTTTGTCTATTTCTTGACCATGTGACTAAAGCCATTCAAGACATTCAAACTGACCAATCAACATGTGATCACACCATAAAACCCCCAAAGTCCACACAACAGGCCCTGATCTTATCAATATCTGGCTTTGTCAGTATGGACCTTCTTGAGTCAAAAAGCATGTTTTGTCATATAAACAAATGCATATGATAATTTAGCCTCTTACAGTGGTACAAACATTTTGGGACAAAGTATGTGTTTGGATACTACAGAAAATATCTGTAAGATTTATCTTCTCATGGGAAATTATTAAGTTTGGCCTAAAACTTAAGGAAAAAAAGATATCTTATATAATGAATAATTTGTTGATATTATTAAAATTTTATTTTCATAAATGTACATTTTTCAAAATTCCCCCAAGACGTGGTGTTTAAAGAGCCATGAACCCCCTCTTTCGGTTCAAATCTACCTTTGAATTCTTTCAAAAATGCTCCGAGATGGGCGTGGAGCTCTGAGGGCAGAGGGAGGAGTGGTGATGACAGGCAGAGCAGGGGAAAAAGAGGGGAGGAACAAATGTTGTCAGTTGGCTCACAAAATAAGACACAAACCATGTGGAGAGTGTTAGAAAATAGGAATACTTTTTTTAAATTATTTTTTTCTCTTTATCTTTTAATCAAACAGTTATTTGTATAGGTCATGTAAGGGTCATATATTAACTGAACTTCTGTTGTGTGTAGGATGCTGTGCATAATTAGCATTTTTGCAGAAGTAGATGAATGCTGGTACAAAATTAAATTTAGCCCAGCAGAAACTTCCTGTCTGAAGAAAGCTGTTAAAACTAAACACAGAGCACAGAAAATTTTATGCTTTTATTGTTGTGCAGAGAATTTATAGAAAAAGAGGACTTATGTCTGGGGTGCGGCCAATGGAGGACTGGACAATGATTGACAAATGACGAATTTCCCTAAACTCCACCTGTTAATATCAGCTGCCTATATAAGTTGAAGTCAAAAAATAATGTTGTTGCGCACCTCCTTAATTTAACTATTGCATTGCATTGAGGATAACAGAATTCTGTGAATCGAATTATTCATTTGTATCCAATAAATTGTTAAGATGTTTGACATTGAAGAAAAACCTCTCCTGACCTTTTTTCTTGAACACGTAGGGAATTGCTGAATATTCCAACAAGAGCCATGATTTTATAGTTTACAATGTTAAAATGCAAAGAAATAAACAGCAAGTAATTTAATGACCTGCTACATATGTTATTCGTAATTTCATATACACATAACCACAATTATTATTTTTTTAATTAAGATAATCATGTTTATAAAAACACTATAGATGAGGAGGACTTCTCCTGAATCCCCGGGGTCTGAATGCAGAGCAGTGGATAGCAGAGCAGCAGTCTCTTGCCCTGTCTACCATTACATATTCAACCATTAACACTGCTCGTAATCTGGAAGATTTTAAGCATAGGCGAACCCAGCAGCACGAATATAGGCGATATGTCTGAATGGTAACAAACTCAACTGACAAAAGACTAAGTCCGTCATTCTCCAATTCTCATACAGCTCTCCTGACAAAAAAATGCTTGCTGCAAATCAACAGCTTTGCTGTATCGGCACTGACAGCTGATCCTGTGAATCTTAGAAACAAACACAAACGCGGTCTCATGCAGTCGCCTCACAGTTTGAAAGGTCTGCTTTGCCTTCGGAAAGCACGTGCTCTCATGAATAATTAAGAAGCAGGGTCTTCTCATAGGATAAGACAACTCCCCTATGAATAATAATGAGAAACCATTGTGTCATCACTTGACTAGCGGATGAGCATCACGTCACTGATTTTGATTTGTCAATAATTTTAAACTCGAAAGATGAAATTAGCAGACAAAAAATCTAAATTATCCACTTTTCCCCACAATTAAAGCTGACAAGGACTAATGTTGTCTTAATGAAAAAACTGTACAAAAGCACACACATCTCTCTTAATTGGGTGCTCAGCCAAAACCGCAAAAAGTGCAAATTAAATGTAAATCAAAGGCGGCAAAACCAAGGCTCCAAAAATACAAATTTATTAAATTAAAAAGGCTGACTCAGCGTGTAACGTTTCGAGCCGCCGGCTCTTCATCAGACAATAGGTGCGTTCGACTTCATGCAGCGCTGCGCAGATCGATCGAAATCTGTCTTTAAGCGGTGCATTCTGGTTAGAAATCTTGTCCGGATTGATGCTGCGCCGACGCCACGTGACTGTCACATGTGGCATCAAAGTACCGCGACAGCGCTCCGAGATCAGACGGCAAACTCAGACCGTGCAGCTTCTGAAGAGCGACTGCAGGAGTTCTGATGACGACACCGATATTACATGATTGGCCGAGTTCACCACATGACAACAAACACGTGTATTTCGGGTTTATAATTGGACAAATTCCGATTCAAAAGTTTCAAAACAAACAATTCACTTTTCACACCCTCTCTATCCTGTACACATCTTGCTAATTAAAAGACTACAAATATATTTACTGCAGTAATCATCTTTTGTTAAATAATCTGGTTATAGAGGTTAACTTGTTTGCACAGGTTTATTTTTAACTTTTTTATACAGACTATTTACTGCATTCATGAACGATTTAAATGATATATTTTAGTGTATATTTTAGTGAATAACCTAAATATGAACTCAAATAAGTCTTACAGACTTGAAATAAGAAAATCATCATCATTGATCCTGCCACCCTAAAGCTCTCTTAACAAATTAAAGTAAAGAACTATTTTATTAAATAATTATAAAATGGTTTTATTATTATAATATAATATATATTTTATTTCCTGTCTAACGTTAGCAGTTTAAAGGCTACCTGCTCTTTCTGGGAAACTTCTACATAGCTCACTTATTTTACCTTTTGTTCTTTTCAACACAATCTTTTTGGATTAAAATGCTTTTTTTGAAAATTCATTCATTATCCAAAATAATGTCATTTATTAAGACCTAATCAAAACACCTTGTTTTGCTTTTTACATTGGAAATTTTTATATCTATAAATGTACATATATGTAAACCCTTTTTAGCATATTCAAACAAGAAGTATTAGCCCAAAGATTGATGTTTAACTCCTAGAATTTATGCTTATTGCTTTGTATTTAATAGACCTGTTCGTTTTTATGTTTATATTAACCTCTCATTTCCTCTTATTTCTCTCATGCATTTGTTATAGGCTATTTTATTCATAATTCTCTCTTATTGTTTAAAAAGGAACTACAGTTTGTAGAAACTGTATTCTGTTTTATTTGTAAATGTTTTGTTGTTATAAATATAACAAAAAAATATGATGACGCCATGTTATCGGTCATCATGACTGCAGCAACTTTGAGTCCCGAAGTGTCCAGCTGTCCGTCTTGACGGCTCCGTTTTCAACTCCGCCCCCGCCTGCGCTCGGCTAATCTCGTTGATCACCGGCTGCAGCTGAGCTTCATGTCGAACGCACCTAATGTTTATCACAATCAGGTGCTTGTTTTTATACACTTCCGGATCACATGATCTCCTCTCGCATATATGCCAACATATACATACATGCATATGTATACATACACAGTCGTTCATATATACATACATACACATGAATACGTATACACATTCACATATAGTCTATAGCTTTGATATTATAAATCAAATTACAAAAAATATATATAAATACATAAATAAACTATAATATTGCATCACAAAATATAGTTTATTTATGTATTTATATATATTTTTTGTAATTTGATATTACAAAAAAAATATATATATATATATACATATATATAGGCCTATATATGATACACCAGACTATACAACAAAATATATACAACAAAATATAGCCAAAAAACCTTTAAACCAAACCCCTACTTCAACCTTCATTCATTCATTCATCATTTATTCATTACTGTCTTTTCGGCTTAATCTCTTTATTAGTCGGGGCTACCACAGCGGAATAAACCGCCAACTCATCCCACACACTTCCCCGCAGCGGACGCCCCTCCAGCCAACACGTTCTCACTCCCAACTCGTCATATACTGACGCTTGGTCAGGAACCCTCGGCGTAAGTTATTGACGCACAGGGTACCCCTTTAGCGTCATATTTAGACGTGCAGGGATTCCCTATAGAATCTGTGCCTGAGCCTGAGGCGTCATAGGGAGACGCTGGAGGCTCGTATAATTACCAATAGATGTCAACGCAATTTTTAAAACCTGATTTACGCCTATTATCTTAGTTTTCTTATTTTAAAAATATGTAATTTTTATTTTGTTCACGAAAAGCGTCTGTAAACTGGGTCGAAACTACTGTATGAATAAACTTCGGTCCACGTGACATCCCTTCACGGTGAGTTTAACGCCGCTCTGCTATTGGTCAAATTGCATCAGCGGTGAGTCAACATTAAATATTACGTTAATGCTGCATAATGTATTTTTATTGGAGATTAGTTGGTGTTTATAAATATGTTATCATTTACTTTATATTTAATGAGTGAAAATAGATTCGGTTGTCCAGTTTAGGGTAACTATGTCTAATAAAACTTTGATTCATTCATATTATTTATTTTTTTTTTACTTTAAAAAATATTACATTTCAAGTACTAAGTTTAAAAATGTTTTCGGCTGATCTTTTTCATTTTAAATTATTTATTGAAGTTGGGGTCATTGTATGTGGCGATCTATTTTTTACAGTCTATGCTCGCTATCCCAAGGTTCATTGCGATCCCAAGGTTCACTGCGGTTTTCCACAAGGTAAGTAAAAAGTAAACAAATAAAGACGATTTGTTGATAAAGCATGTACTGTAAACTAGCGACGTTATCTAATTACATCAAGTCCATTTATTAAAAACATATTTTTCTCACATATAACGTTGGTCATGCATTAGAACAATATATACATTTCAAGATAAGGAACAGTGTAACCAGATTGTTGTTTTCCACAATAGAATTCGTGCAAAATCTATATATAATATGCAATATGCAACTCTAATAATACAAATGTATTCGTAATTGTTTCAATGTTAAAGAACATCAAGTGTTTCCAAACGTTTAAAGGCTACATTGTAAAAACAATTATTTTCCATGCCTTTAAAGGAAAAAAGGCAGAAATTTTGCCTGTCTGAGCACATTTTATTCATTGTACAACACAACACTAAACAAAAAAACAGATTAATCTACCACACACACACACACACCCATATATATATATATATATATATATATATATATATATATATATATATATATATATATATATATATATATATATATATATATATATATACAGGTGTAAATTATAAGGTGTTCACTGTTCAGATATGAATATTTTTTCTTTGCTCTTTTCAGGTTCTTTAGATTTCTTTAAAAATCCAATTTTATTTTCTAATAAGCAAAAAGTAAAATCACTTTACCCATGTTTATATGTTAAAATGCACGTGTCTCTCTCTCTATCTCTGTTAACACATTTGTATTTGTTTGATTAATTCTTGTGTCTTTCAGCCTGTTTCTGCCTATCAGCATGAGTGATTCCTTTATACTCAGATTTATCATCAAGACCTCAATAATAAGCTCAAGTCTTGATGACAACTTGATGATCTGCAGGAAGCACCACCATGTAAGGAAGGCCAAGACCACTCTGGAATCAGTCAAGGGTTAGTGAAGTTTTTCATTCCATGTATATTAAATATCTACATTGTTTAGGCATATATGATTGTATGAGATAAAATGCATTTATTCTTTCACTACTATGGTAATAACAGAAAGAGACGCATTAGTTTTACTATTACTATTGTTTATGACAAACATTAAAAAACTACACAATAAGCTCACAAAATATTGTGGCCTAACTGTTTAAAACTATTTGTTCTGGGTGTTGATTAGTGGCCAACCATTTTTTTTCTTTTTCAGAAAGTATTTTGTTTTGTCTGATTTTATGACACCTTATAGGCCATCAACTGTCCACATTGGGGTTTAGGAAATTAGAACTGCTTATGCTGCTTGTCTACTAGTCTTAGGATAAGTTAGAAATGTTATAAATGTACTTTTTTTTGTTGTTTTTATCTGGTACAGCTCATAGGAACTCCAATCTTCCCAACTGTGAGAGGGCCTTGCTCCAGTGACTGTCAGTGTGTACTTCATTGTTTCCATTAGTCCCTGTATCTGTAGACCCAGGTGACAGTGGGCTAGAGTCAAATTTTGTTTTTATTTAAACTAAGGCATACTGATGGCCTTTTTATCTCAGATTTGGTCATGCAAGTATTAATATATCCTAAAATATTTTTATATTCTTTCCATTGGTGGAAAAGATGTTGGTATAATTATTTTTAATGGACTGCTAAGATCTCAGCAGACATTTTTCTTAAATGGGAGTCTGTGCAATACAAGGTGGATAGTATTTGCAAGGAAGAACCCTTTATCTGTCCTGCTTCCACACCAGATATACTGCCAATTTAAGTAGATGTGAACCATAAGCATAACCATTTCAATAATGCACAAGGTACTTTAAACTGTATGTGTTGAAACTAAATTAACAAGAAAACAGCTCTTTGATGTTCACCTAGTAAAATTAGATTAGAAGATATAAACTGTTATGCACTTGTTCTGTACTGTTTCATTCCTTTTTCAAACACTGGGATTTTTGAAGGTTTATTTACAGCTAAGGATTAAGGATTGACAGGAAGATTTGTGGACTACATCAACTAATGACACTACCTCCAAAGAGTTGCAAAAAGCTGTCCAAAGTTTCAGCACCATCTTTAAGCCCATGATTTTAGTGTGTTTCATGCCTAAGCACATGAGTTTATATCTGAGATAGATGAACTATGTGATTATCTTAAACTGATCTACAAGTAAATGCCAAAACTTATTGGTTTACTTATTTGTTTGTTTGTTTGTTTGTTTTTTTGTATATGTTAACCAGGGGAAATGGAGTGAGGCATACAAGGATATGTGTGGTTTTACTCTTGGGAAGGAGGTTGAACAGTGCAATATTTCTTCTATAGGATTGCAGTGACCAGACATGCTACTGTAACTCTCATGGTCATGTGCTGGAATTAGCAGATATTCAACAATTTGGCCATCTCGCTGACCTATTGATATCAGAAGGTAACGATATCCAGTAGAATTTGTTTTAGTTGTTCAGTAACCTATTTAAATAGTATTGTGATTTTTGATTGCTTATCACTGTAGACCGCAGCAGCTCTGCAAAGCAAGTTGCAAAACAGAATCCATGAAACTGGCAGTGACTGGAAACCAATTGGAAGACTTTGGTCTGTGATGTAGAGGAGTGGGCAGAGGGTGAGGAAATTCTTATTAATATTAAATGTAGTCATGAAAAATTGTAACTGTTACTATTATCGTCATTTTTTCAGTAGCAGAAGCAAAGACAACAAAAAACAGAAGTGATATGGATGTCTTTGTCATATGGCATGGTATGTACACTAGACTTCTGTCAGTGTTAATTCTTTAAAAGTTGACGTATAATCCTTGTTATACAACTTTCTTTTTATAAATATATTTCAGACTCTGCTGACCCAGCAACAAAGAGGAGGTTGTTCAACATCATCCTGCTAGTCAGGATTCTTCAGGAGAAGCAGTTGATTCTTGTGGCAGAGATGGCCAACCACTATACCTTTCAACTCATCCTGGTTCTTTCAAAGAACTTTCCTGCTTGTTTGCTTCTGAAATGTACTGGTATGTATTTGTATTATTTGGCTCAAACTTAAGCATAATGTTACCCAGTCCAAAGAATATTAATATATTTTTATGTTGTTGTGTTCTTCTTTTAAGATTCGACATGTGGCCTAAACAAAGAGGGGTTAAAAGGTCTATGGATCATCATTCTCAGAAAGCAACAAAATAACTGAGAAATAAACAACAATACGATGGTGCAATCTAGAGACCTGCAAGGTACCTGCAAGTTTTGGCTGGAGCAGAGAACATAGATTTTTTAAAATAAAGCTCCAGCTGATGAGTATGACATTGACTGTGGATTTTCTTTTACTGTAATCCAGAAGAGGATGACCTTAACCCTGAATCTAAAGCATGTAATAAAATCTGTAAAAATAAAATAAAATTTTCATCATCTATAACCAAATTGTTGTCTCTTTTTTAAATACATAGATATGTACAGTATGTAAGCATTCCTCTAAAATCAATCAGTGTTGTAAATTAAGAGCATTATTGTATGCCTAACTGCTTACAACATATGACGATTTAAGGAACTCTATATTCAAATAAAATTATTACATTTAATGACATCAAGAGCTTTTAAAATATTAATTATATGATACATTTTTATGATAAATTTAATTTTTGCATATACTTGGCCAAAAAAATGTACATTATTATGGTCCACTGCTCAGATACCTCCAGTCAATATGTGGCTGAGTCAGGCAACCAGACTTCTACCTCTGAAAAAATTAACCTATGATTTACATCAAAGATCTGATGGATCCATTTGGTCCTCATGGATTTTTAAAAAAAAAAAAAAAAATTTAATTTCCTATTATTTTTGTCCTTTGAAACATTTGTATTCATTTGTTAGAATGTCTAACAAAAAACTGCTGCACTTGTTGTGAGATAACAGTGCCACTGTTGTTATTCTGAAAATAAAAATTAACTTTGTATAATGTTTTATTGAATGCAAGATAAAAATAAAATATTTTCCAAGAGATGGATTGTGGCTGGAAGAGCATCTGCTGCATAAAAACATGCTGTAAAAGTTGGCGGTTCATAGCGCTGTGGCGACCCCTGGTTAATAAAGGGACTAAGCCAAAAAGAAAATGAATGAATGAAAATAAAATATGTATTTTTAGTAGACATAGAACTACACAGTAACTTATAAATACAGCACAGAACTATTTTACTTCTCGTTTAGATGATTTAAAGGTTTGCAATTTTATTTTGTTGGTTAATGGCTATGTATTTTTAATCATTTGGAGTTTTGAACTATTCGCAGCATTTGAAAGGATATTTTTTCATCATTGTTACCTCATTTCTCAATATTTTCATGATTCTTACAATGCAGCAAATCTTGCAATCATTTGATCATAAAGAAAATAATTAACAAATTAACCCACATGCAGGACAAAGACATTATGTGGAATCCTTGTTAAACACAAGTTCATCCATTGTCATCAAAACATACTGTTACACAAACAGTTGAACATTTAGAAAGTAAAAATAATCAGATAAAGAGTGGTTTTTAAACAAATACATGTCTTTAAAAAGGTTTTATTTATAAACATTTACATATTTTTAAAGAGCTTTTATCCATATTTCAAATAAAGTGAAAACAATTAAACATCACATGATGACCATTAATGAAACCCACTTACAGTATTACATCCACACATATTATTCTGAACTCATAATATTTGTGATGAACATAATCACTATTGCTAATAACTTGTGATTAAAGAAGATACTAATGTTTAGCTTATTTTTTTAGCTTTTTTTTTTTTTTTTTTAACCACAACTGTACATGTGACAATACAATTTCTTGTCCATGTTGAAGATAATACATCTACATAGGTTAACTGCCCTTTTACTCAAAGGGGATGAGTAGAGCCCCGTAGAAAAGGAAAAAGTAATCACATTTCAAACGAGAAATGAGTGAGAGAATATCAGCAAGACTATTACCTATGGTATGTTCAATAAATAATGTTGAATATAATAGTCTGATATATACTAATCAAGTCAATAAAAGCTGTTTAAAAAAATACTCATTGTAAAATAACAAATTTATGCCTGGCATTCATATATGTCATAAATATATGCACAATTACCTTATTCAGATAGTCTTTAGTTCATTAAAATTGTATTTGTTCCATTTTATTACAAAAAGGCTTTAAACTACATTACCCACAATCCTTTGTCGCTGTATAGATGGGACGGGAAAGACATGGCGCTACAAATTGTAGTTCATTGAAAGGTGTAGTTAGGGTTAAGTTTAGGGTTACGATCTTGGTTAATCGGTAACTATTTGAAAAACAACGATAACTCATTGATAAAGGACACTGTTGGTAAAGTGGCAAAGTTAGCAAAACATAGTTAGCAACACGAAGGATCTTTTAATTTGGCTTTGAAGTTATAGTCCAATCACAACGTCGCAATCTACGTCACACTTTGTCTCTATTTGGTAATCTTCCAGCTGAAGGTAGATTATAATAACCTTATAATATAACTTAAATATCAAAATGTGTATTAATATTACATGTTATTTATTGTCTTATTAAAAATACAAATGTATATTTACCGTGAGATTCCTTTGTGGGGGTAACCTGATGTGCAAAATGATCATAGTAAAACCAGATCATAGGCAGTATACTAAATTTGAAACGAATAATAAAATAATAAAAAAAGCTTCATGTTTGAAAACATTTCCAGCATTTCCTGTAACTAAACCATGCATCATGTTGGTATACAAATATAAATATATGTCAAACTTAAATGACAAATATAGTGCCCATTAAATAGTAAAAATAGTAGTTCATTGTAAATGAGTATACAAATAAACACAATACATTTTTAATGAAACATTTATAATTTATTTATAATGCCACAAATAAAATAAATAATAAAAATCACGCAAAAATGCAAAAACCAAAAATATATATTTTATAACAGTTTTTAATGCAATAATATATTACCATACATATATAAATGATTAAAAACTATTATAATTGAAGGAAATATATATTTTGTATTATTATTATTATATTTATTTTGTGATATTTATTCATGTCATACATCTGGTATGTCAAGCTGAAGTAAAACTGCACAGCAAAAAATCTTTTCAAATGATGCCTTTGGAAATGCCATTATAATAAACAGCTTTCACAACAACAAGAAGTCAAGTTCATGACAAATGCAAATTATGTTTATAATAACAACTTTCTGAACTTAAACATCAAAAGTAGAATAAGTTCAAAACATATTCAAGTATTTACTGAAGAATAGCAAAAACTATTTTTACAAAACACTGAGAACCAAAGTGTGCTTGGTGAGTCCAGGTGTTTATGCTGACTAGACTGTCATATTGCAATCCGGTTAGCATGAGGAGACTTGGGCGTAAAGTGTCAGGAATTCCTGGAGGGCTCCCATGTGTTATTCCAGGTTTTGCCACTGTAAAGTATTAGAAGTGCACAATACCATTACTGAACAAAGAATGAGTGTTAGGTTTCATTTAGAAAGTTCAGTGATATTAATTTATATATGTAAAGTGTCATTAAACCTGGCACTCTTGAATTAACTGTATAATAGGTTAAACATTTCCAGCATGTTTCCATGTATTCCAAGCAGATCTGTCAGTTCTATAAACTCAGAGATCAGGATAGTGACTGCTCTTCTCATTATGAACACCCTTATGCTTCTCATACATTTTTATCACCACTGATGTCCACTGCTGTAGTTTTCATTGAAGGGAATGCTGACACAAATTCCAGCATGTTTTTTTAAATAGCAGAATATGGGTATTATTGGGCCAAAACCTTAAAAAAATATAAGATGCAAGATTTGAATCTTGATGAACATATTGTTAATTCACTTCTTGCAATTTAAAACACACATCTCACGTTTGACTCATCAATTATATGAAAACTACAACAGCATACTGTGCTCCACCCTAAAAATATTTCTAAATTGTAACAAGTTTATTGCTTTACAGGGCTAAACATTTATTTTATGCCTGCATGATTTACTGCTTTTACTGTAAACCATTACACTCTTAACCCAAACTAGTTGACTTTATTCTAATAAAGTCAACTAGTTTGGGTTAAGAGTGTAAACTGCATCGAAACATGTTGCCTTAAACCCTTAATGTTTTTACACAAGGTGAAACTAAACAGCCCACTTTAAATTAACCTAGAACCTTTACAATCTTCTTGAACTTACAGTAATATTTTAATTCAAGTATGGCTGTTAAGTTGTACCTTGTATAAAATGTAAGGGGTTTAAGCCACTGGGTTTCTATACAATTTTCTAGTAAAGTCAACTAGATTGGGTTAAAGGAATAGTTCACTATTTACTCTCCTTTAAGTGGTTGTAAACCTTTTTAAAAAACTTCCAAGTTACTTTGTGTTGAACATGAAGGTTTTTTTTTTTTATTTTTTTTAAAGAAAGCTGAAAAGCTGAAAACATTGACATACATAGTAGGAAAAAACAAATACTATGGAAGTCAGTGTTTGCAGGTTTTCATCTTTCTTTAAAATTTAATTTTTTGTGTTTAACTGAAGAAAGGAACTCAGACATATTTGGAACAAGTGAAGTATGAGTCATTATTGACAGAATTTTTCTTTTTGGGTGAATCTCTTTAAGAGTATACTGAAAGAAATGTCCTACTCAATGTAGCTAACTTCAGCTGCATGTGCTGCCCCATGAGTACTTATCTAGAAATCAAAACAATGATCACGTCAGTCCCATTTTAGGCCCTTTATATCATATTGGCCACAGAATGGACTACTTAGTGTTGCAATACAATTTAAAAATTAATAAAACTATGACTTACCACACAATACAAGACAAACAGTGAATTTTCAGCTCTGCCTTTGCTGTACACAAGATGAGGTTCCAGCTTCAACACTGATCTTGAGTGGGGCAGTTGTGCAGCTCTGTGAGGTTGTGACTGTTCAGGTGCAGTGCTGTGAAGAGTTCTTTATTAAAAGAAAGTATATTCTTTTAAAAGCTGTACATAATAGCAAAGAAAATACAATGATTTTAAATAATGATTAATTCTGAACAAAAACCTTACCCTTAATCAAGATGAATTCATATGTCAAAAGTTTCTGCATCTGAAATGAATAAAAACAGATGTGACATTAGTTAAACCCACTAAACTACTAGATACATCAGTACTGCATTAAGCAGTTGTAAAGTAATGTAAGTGTAGTCCAAAATGAGCCTTAATCTCTTTAGGATAATGATTTAAAAAAACGTTGCTTGTGTTAAAA